CCCTAACCCCCCCCGTCCCAAACTTCACCAGCTGCCCCCCAAACTCTCCTGAACCCCCTCGGCCAGCACCCCAATCCGCCATGAACCCTGAACCCTCTCAGCCGGCCCTAAACCCCCTGGCCATTCCCCCGCCCTCTGAACCCCTCTGATTAGCCTCCCAAACCTCCCAGAACTCCCCTGGCCAGGCCCTTGCACCCCAAACTCCCCGGCTGGTCCCTCTGCCCAGCTCCCTGCCCCCCAAACCTCCCTGGTCAGGCCCCCTGTGCCCCAGAGCGACCCCCCAGCCAGCCCCTTCCCTGCCCCCCCTGACCTTCACTCTCTCCCACACAACTGCTCTCTCCACCCGTTCCCTTTTGGCCTCCCGCCCCATCTGCCCCCAAATCCCCCCTGTCCCCCCTCACTCTCTCTCTCTCTTCCCTGCAGGTAAGAAATTCAAATGTAAAAAGTCCGACTCCAGGTAGGTGCTGCCCCCCTCCCCGCTATAACTGCCCCCCTTTGCCCCGACCTCCTGGGCAGCCCCCCCCCCACTGCCCCTTGCCCTAACTACCCCCCCAGGGGCAGCTGCCCCCACTGTAACTGCCCCCCTTTGCCCCCCGGGGCAGCTCCCCCAATTGTAACTGCCCCCCTTTGCTCCCAGCCCCCTGGGAAAGACCCCCACTGTCCCCCAGGGGTGACTCCCCCACTCTATCTGCCTCCCAACCCCCTGGGGCAGCCCCCCACTTTCCCCCACTCTAGCTGCCCCCCACAGCCCCACCAGCCCTCCTTGACCCCCCCCCACCCCTGACTTACCTGTCTCCCCCTTTGTGTTCCCCCTCAGCCTATCGGAGGCCAGGCAACCGGGAAAGACCCCAAGTAAGTGACCCAGAAGGTTGGGGGGGCTGTACGGGGGTGGGGGGTGTCCCTGCTGCCCCCCGCTGGCTGGCATCAGACTGCCCTGTGGAGGGAGGGGTTGTCCCTCTGTTGGGGGAGGCCAAGGGTGGGGGCAGGTGAGACTCCCCCACCCAGCTGCTCCTTTGTCTCCACAGAAGACAGATGTTGCCAGGGCTGGGGGGGGGGGCGTGGTACCATGGCAACGCCATGTCAACGCCCTCCTGCAGCTGCTGCAGCATCTTCCTTCTGGGGGTGGAGGTGGAGAGGAAGCTCCCGGACTCCGGGGTCCCCTTAGGCCCTGATCTCTCACTGCTCCCCCCCCCGTCTCTCTTGCAGCTCCAGCAGGCAGCGCGTAGGCCTGGTGCCTAGGATGTAGCGCCCCCCTCTGGTTGGGGGGTGCAGACCCTGCTGCCCCCCCCCCGCCCAGGACGGCTCCAAGACCTCGGCTCCAGCGCCCGGCGACATCCGTGGGGGCAGGGAAGGGGAAGCCCTGTTATCTGAGCCCCCGTCTTTTAGAACCTCTGCCTCCAATTGGCTGGCGAGCCCATTGCATGCTGGGAGCAGGCACCATATGCAGGGAGGGGGGGGTCCCTTAGTCTCACTTGGCCCCCGCATCTTGATCCACTGGGTCCCCTTCACTTCCTGTCTCCCCCAGCGCATGTGACCCCCGCCCATGCCATTACTGCTTTGCTTACGGCACCCCCCTCCCTGCTGCATCGGGGGGGTGCTCCATGTGGGAGGAATGGCCACACACCACCAACACCCCCCCCACCCAGGCCCAAACACGGGCTCCACCTGGGCAGGGGGCCCTGGGCCAGCAGCTGGATGCTGACAAGGTGCTGCTTTCGTGACGTGTTTTCAGCTGCCCCCAGGGGGCGCCACCTTGTGGCTGCCCCCCCACCCCCATGCACGGGGCAGAGCAGACCCAGCGCTCAATAAACATAGGGTTGTTTCTTACTGGGCTTCGACTCTGTTATTCGCCCCCATCCCCACCCCCGGTGACAATGCCCCTCACTCCCAACTTGCAGCCCCCTGCTAGCCCAGCCTTGGGCTCCCCCACCCCCAAGTCTGCTGGTGCTCCTCACTCATGACCCAGTGCCGAGGTGGGAATCCCCAGCAGCCATTGGCGGTACAGGGTTTATGACACACAGAACAGGACTGATCCCTTCCAGCAGAGGGCAGCAGGGAAAAGCACACACACACAAGATGGTGCAGTTCTCTTACTCATCTTTTCCATGGTGTGGGGTGCTCTTGCCCTGGGGCAGCCTGTCTTCCACATGATGCCCACTCCCTGCGCTAGGGGCTGTATTTTCATCCTCCACATCTCGGTTCTGTATGTTCAGGACCAAGCAAAGAAAGAGCTGAGAAAGAACAGAGCGGCCACCTGCAGGGCATGGCAGACTGGGAACAGTCACACGTAACATTGCCCAGCGCTGAAGTGCAGCCACCCATGGGCGGTGGGTTAATCCTCCATCGGAGAGGCTAGTCCCCTGCCCCTACCCCGCCCCTTCCAGCCTCCCTCACCCACCGGAGCCAGAGGAACCCCAAGCCCCCCACTGCAGCAGGAGGAGCCCCGGTCCGCCCGCCCGAGCCCCTGCCAGCTTCTGGGGAGAGGCGGAGTGAGGGTGGGAAGAGGAGCAGCGTGGGGAGGGCTATGGGGGAAGAGCAGGATGTGGGAGTGGGGCTTGGGGCCGAGTGTGGGCAGGGCCACAGCCTGGGTGCCCTTTCGTGGCAGTGCTCCAAATGCGGTAGGCTGGCGGCATGCCTCTAGAGGGAGGGGCACCGCATCCTGTTTGGGGAGGCTTAGCCTCCCCTGGCCTATTATACCCATCACCCATGCAGCCACCTCTGGAGCGGGGCAGCGGGGGAACAGCCACACATAACACCACACGGGGCTGTCTTGCCCAGCACTGAGATGCAGCCATCTCGGTGGGGGGGGGGGCAGCGGGAGAACAGCCGCACATAACACCACACGGGGATGGCTCGCCTGCTGCTGAGATGCAGCCACCTCTGGAGCACACTCTGGAGAACGATGCCACAGTTCCCCAAGGCCAAGACTACTTATCCCATTCTTCAGGAGTTGGGCCGACAGGTCCCAAGAGGAGTCCAGGGCTAAGCGCAGGTTTCTGGGGTGTGTGTATGTGTGTGGGGGGGGCAGCTGGAGTCCCTAGCATTGACCCGGACTGTGAGGGGCGAATCTTCAGTGGGACCAAGCTGAGGACCTGCCCAGGGATAATGGACAGGAATCTGGGACACGGCCCTACAGAGGGCGGGGCGAGAGTGAATGGGGTATGGGGCCTTTCCCCTCTGGGGGTGCCCACTTCCACCTGGCCCTATTTCTCTCGGCCATTCAGCGCCCTGGGGACATGGC